CCACCAAACCCATCATCCTTCCCAGATCCCCTCTGGGGGATCCCCATGAGGAGGACTGAACCCTTGGATCGCCTGCCATCATCATCCTCATCATCCTCCTATTTCTCTTTGCCCCACGCAGGACCCACGCAGCAAGTGGAGAGCAAAGCCTTGGACCTGAAAGGGCGCCGGAGGGGCCCCCAGCAACACCAGTCTCCCCAGTCTCCCCAGTCCCAGCTGGAGAAAGCAGAGCCCAGACCGCCCCAGCTGCCCTCCGCTTGGACCCTTGCAAGGTGAGAGGATGGCACCCAAGCAGCTGGGACCTTTGCAAAATATAAAAAGGGGGGGGGGTCCAGGACCCCTAGATCAAGGAAGGAGCCAAGGGCCCAAAGGGGTGAGGATGGCTTGCAAGGCAAGGCAAGGCAAGGCAAAAAGGCTGGGACTGGGGCCTTTGCAAAGAAGGCTGGGGTCTTTGCAAAAGAAAGGGAAGGGGGTGTCCCCAGATTTCTGGATCAAGGAAGATGCAAAGGGTCCAAAGGGCCTGGAGAAGTGAGGATCGCTCGAAAGGTAAGGCAAGGCAAAAAGGCTGAGACTGGGACCTTTGCAAAGAAGGCTGGGGTCTTTGCAAAAAGCCTGGGACCTTTGCACAATAAAGGGAAGGGGGTGTCCAAGATTTCTGGATCGAGGAAGATGCAAAGGGCCCAAAGGGCCTGCAGAGGTGAGGATCGCTTGCAAGGTAAGGCAAGGCAAAAAGGCTGGACTGGGACCTTTGCAAAAAGGCTGGGACTGGGACCTTTGCAAATAAGGCTGGGGTCTTTGCACAATAAAAGGAAGGGGGTGTCCAAGATTCCTGGATCCAGGAACATGCAAAGGGTCCAAAGGGCCTGCAGAGGTGAGGATCACTGGCAAGGCAAGGCAAGGCAAGGCAAGGCAAGGCAAGGGCAAACCTTTCCCCCCTTGCCCCAGCCTTTGCAATCCCTTCCCCTTTAGGATCCCTCTCTTTGCAAGGATGGCTTGCCCTGGCCTTGGATCCTCTGCCCACTTTCTGCCCAGTGGCCTGGCAAAGTGGCCATGACCTTGTGGAAAGGTGACCCCCCCTTCCTTCCTCCCTCCCTTCCTTCCTTCCTTGTCCTTGTCTCCAAAAAGAG